GAAAAACTTATGTGATGTTCTTCACTTCTGTCATCAAAGGCAATGGGCATTCAACTCGGGAGTAATAGATTTATTTGGAAACTACAGATTTATTTCTTCCTTACATGTGGCTTGCTTATTCTATTCTTTTCCATCCCCAACTCAGGATTTAGAGAGTGGTGCAAGAGACTTGGACCCAAGAAGAGCCTTGACATCAGAATTGTGTCTCCTGTGCAAACTGGCCTCTAGTTTGTTGAATGGAATCAGCTCTGCCATTATCTTAAAACTAATTGACCAAAGCCTCAGGAAGTCTATACAGAACATCATTATAAGACCTGTGTAAAACCGTTATGTGGGTATCTGGGCTATTTCTCTGAGTAGTGGATAAAGTTTCAGAAACATCTGCAAATAGTAGCGCTGGAAGCCTTTTTTCAAAATAAATGTTTATGTCCTGCAGAAACCCACATAAATGGATTAGGATTTAATCTGCTTCTAAACCTCTGTCAACAGTAACCATGATAAAGGTTATTGGGCTTGTTTTGGGATATATGAAAATTTGATAGGTTATCAGCAACAGTCCGTTGTGGAATATTACTCCAGATTATCTGTTTCACCCCCGGCCTTTCAGCATACATGTGATTGCACTTCAGGTAATATTATTGCCAGTTAGATAGACAATCGTTCGCTGCAATTCAGGTAATGATATAACTAAATTGCCCTTCTTTGTGTAGAGGCAAAAATGTTTTAAAAGCTGTTCTAGGCCTAGAAATGAGACTATCGGTCAGATATTTTAACTTTAAAATAAAATACTGGGTAATATTTCAACCATTAAACAATGCAAACTATTAATTGAAAATTAGTCTTGGCAATAGCTTCCTTTTCTCTTTTTCTTCTGTACACAAGAGTAGAGAAATGGTTTCTGATATCATTTTTTCCTAAAGAAAAGATTTTGGTACAGGTATTTTTTACTTTTTAAAATCCTTTTTCTTTCTCATTTGCTTTCTATTCCTTTTTATGCGTAGACATGCCCCAAGGTTTCTTGCATCTTTTTCCCCAATGGGTATGTGTTCCAGAAATTTGCAACTTTTATTTGTCTATTCAATTTTTCTTTTTTTATTACATTGAAAAAAAAAAAATCACTACTTTTGAAGTGCCTTTTCCTTTTATTGTCTTCAGATGTTTTTTATCTACTGCTCTCTGTTGTGTTTTGAGGATTTTTTTCTTGTTGTTTTGCTTTTTATTAGTACCCGTGCTATTAGAGGTCGATTGAATGAGTTTGTGTACATGCACAGTTTTAGGTGCTTATTTTGCTCTGACAAAATTGATAGGTACAAACCTGATAGCTGATGATGTTGAGCTACTGCATAAGTCTCCTTTGCATGCATTATTTTGTGCCTGAAAGAGATTTACAAGCATGCTTACTTTAAACAATAATAAACAATAAATAACTTTAGTGTTGCAACATTTAAAAATAAGAAGTTAAAGATTTTAAGTTCACTGGGGATACATATGTATAATTTAACACTGTTCAGTAAGAGATGTAAATTTTGAGTTTAGATGTGTGGGAAACGTGAATTTCTGTCATTATATAGTCACAGGCATGTCTATAAAGCTATGCCAAATTATAATATTTGCATAAATATTTATATAAATATGTCATACTTGCATAGCATTTTGTAGGGGGTTTATATCTAACTTAATTTACCATTTCACAATGAGACTGAGTTGAACCAACAGCTAAGTGCTTCTAAAATGGAAAATACCATTTCTGTTCTTTGAGTTCCTCAAATTGGGGTTTAGTGGTGCAAAGACTATGGTGTTGCCTTTTACATGGAAATCAATATGCATATGAAGTGAATATAGTATCTTTTAAGATTCAACGTAACCTACATATTTCTAAAGGAGATGTTGTTCCATGAATAAATAGGGGCAAAATTGATAACAGGGTGTTTTCTGATACTTGGAAGGATTTTTCCTACATTTTTACTGAAATGCTGAGATATATACTCTGAGATTAGCATGGGTCTGGTTTTGTCTAATGCTCTTTATTTTTATGCAGTCCAGAACAGTGTGACCACTTAAAAACATGGCTGTTCCCTTTTGTGGGTTTTGTTTGATTTTGTTTTGTCTTTTCATAGTGAGCATGTAGCTCTTCATTTAAATTTGGTAGGAGCTGGCAGATGAATTAGAGAAATATAATCTAAATTTCTAGTTTATTGTTCACATTATTTTGAACTAAAACCATAGTAATGGAATAACCTTGTAAAATGAAAGGTGGGGTTTCATAGGGTGGGAGGACAGTTGCAGAAAAAGGAAAGAAGTGTAGTACTCAATGTTTCTTCATATGGGGACATGCACGTGGAATTGAAGCTCATGGTAATTGTTGGCCTATTCCCTTAAGCATGATATTTTGCCTGTGATTTTTGAAAGGATCAGTCACTTGCAGCAATTTGTGTAATAACTTTCTGGTGAGTGATTCTAATATTTTATTTATGCTTTTTGCCTGGTTCACCAGAACGCAATACCTTTTGCTCCTTGGTACAGTAAATGCACTCTGTAATATCTGTTATGGTATGGTCAAAGGATAATTTATTGTCAGATAGAAAAATAGGTCAACGCTAATGTCACTTGATGATCAACCCCCAAGTTTAATAAAACACCTCACCAGCACGCATTCTGCACAGTGCTTGATGTTTTATTAGGACTACAGTACCTTACAGTACCTAGCTATAGCGGGAGTGTAATTACTGAGCTGTCAGGGTGATAAGTGGGATTAATGGCAGCCTGGTGCACTTTAGTCTGCAGAGTGCTCAGAGAATCGGAAGATGGTATTATTATAAGAGAAAGTCTCGACTGGCATATTCATGGCACCCTCCCCTCCTCCCCAAAGCTCGCATTCAAGTTTGCATTACCCACCCCCCCAATAGCTGACATTTTCAACAGCTGTTATTTGTGAACCAGCTCAAAATTCAAAAGAGAAATAATTTGGTGAAGATGCTTGCTAGCCACAACGGGTAATCTGTACACTGCTTATCCTGCTAGGTGCCATTCTAGTCAGTTTTGACATGAGAGTGTTCTATATATAATCCACAGAAATGTATTTTATGTTAAGTGCAATTTTTTTGGTCTTGGATACAGGACTGTTGTATTGTAAAGGAAACCACATTCAGGAAAGGGAAGAGCAAAAAGTCATAATGGAATTGTGCCTCTTTTAAACGCGTGGTTTTCCACTTCTGTTATTTCTTTACTGCCTACACAGGCAAAATGATCATCTGAGCCCTCAGAGCGGTGTATTTTGTTTAGTGTATCTCCTTTTATTCTGGCTTCTAGTACTAAAACTTTGCTGTCTTTCAATCTGCTTGGAATGCTAAGAACGTCCTCTTGAGTCGGTGCTCTGGCCACAGCAACCCTTTGAGGTCCCCCCCGCCTGCCTTTGCTCGTTAAGGCATTTACAACACGTGCCTGTCAGCGGGTAGTGCTGGGCAGCCGCATGTTCAACTGCCACAGCTAAACCTGCCGGTGCTCTTCTGCCAGAGCCCTCGGACACCCCGGCTACTTGAAGTAGTAACCTGCTATGGCGTTGAACCTGCATTTGGCTTTATCAGATTTCCCAGCTTTTGCAGCCCGAGACACCTGTTTTCCTTTAAATATTTCCTCTGGGACCTTTTCCCCAGGACTAGTTCTGTGAGAACATCCAACTAGCTGCTGCCGCATGCGCCTTTGGATTTTTCTGGTGCCGTGGTGTCTGCAATACCCAGCTAGATGATAATGAATAGGAAGATGAAAGACTAATTAATCTTTTACTTAACTGGCTTTGCCTTCTGTCTTGTTCCACCCTTAATTGGAGGGAAAAAAAAAAAAAGAAAACAAAAGCAATGTGTGTGATTGACAAAGTCAGGCCAGTTTTTCACTGCAGATATTTCAAGAATTTCGTTCCTTTTAACGTGCTCTTCATTTTTTGTGTGTGTAGTCCATAGGCCTCTTGCAGCTTTTCTGTGTTTGAAAATACTCTGTGCCAGCCAGTTCCACGGAGTTATTAGCTGTCACTAAGTAACAATAATTAAGGTGGACTTGTGGAACTTATCTAAGTGGTTGTGCTCAGATAATTAATTTTATTTCATTTTCCATAGACTGTTAAAACCACAATTTACATAAATTCTGCATGTTAGTAAAACAATATTGAAAGAGCATCTGGAATAACTTAATGAGTTCTGAGATAATTAGTAGTGTGGCATTTGACCTATGATAATCATTGATATGTAAAACCAAAAGTGTGTACAAATACCTTTGTCTTTAATAAAGAACCATTTTACTTTTACCTTTTTTTTGTTAGGTTTGCTTACTGCAAATAGCACAGACTACCCTCAGGGCTTAATCCTGAGATGGGACTTGTGCAAGCAACTGGACCCGTACATCCTCATGGATGACTATGCAGGAACATAGTCAGTAAATCTTTGCTACTTAGTAGGTTTTAATATGCAGTTCAGTTTTGTCATTAGGGATGACAAGAAGAAGAGGGTCTTAGAGATTTCAGTTGGGACTATGCATTAAACTACTGAATTGTTTTCAGACGTCACAGGCATATCACAGAAAACTCGTAGAAAAGTGACTTGAAAATTTATCAGCCATTCTTATTCTTAATAAATTCAGATTCACAGCACAGATGTTTTCAAATAGAAAACTAAAATGGTCAGAAGTTTAGCAATCTTGAATTCCAAGGAAAAAATTACTTCTGTGTAATTAGACATTGTTTCCTAATACTTAGACATGTATAGTCCATATGTTTGTAACTGTACCCTACTGCCTTCCTTTGTAAGGTGGAGTCAACAGAACACAACCAGTGTCGAATGCAAGTCAATAATGATCATCTAGTGCTTTGAGGTTTTAAATAGAAATGTTATGAAAATGCTCTGTATTATTCCTTTGTGGCTTATCTTCTACCATGCTAACTTGAAAACCTTATGCTATTGGCAGCATTTGTATTCCAAGTCTCGTTGACACGTTTTCTTTTATTCCTGTAGATGCTTAAAGTGTGCAGATGCCCCCTGTCAGAAGAGTTGCCCAACTAATCTGGACATCAAGTCATTCATCACAAGTATTGCAAACAAGGTAAAGTCAGGCTTGCAGTAGTACATGGAAGCAGATAACAGCAGTTACTTGCTGTTCTGTTAGTGAGATTGCATTTCAAGGTTTATCTTTGCAAAGTCTTAAAAAAAAATAGTGTTTGCAACAGATGCTTTAAGGTTCAACAGTCAGCTAATTTTTAATTATTTTTGCTGCTGTTCTGTGCCTGTGCAGATAGTCTATAGTGCAAATCTATTTCTCTATGTCACTTTTTCTATAAAGTTTTTGGTTTTGATAATTTTCAAATATAATGATATTAAAAAGCCTGAGCATTACAAGATAATTATTTAACCTTGCTGCTACCTGAGGTATTCTTATAATTACAAACCTTTTCTTTCATGAAATATATATTACTTTTTTTTTAAAGAAGTGATTATAGTTTAAATTTGCTTTGGGCAGAAATTTGACGTGAAGGTGGTCATCTCAAGGAAAGTTTTCTTGTAGTTTATAGTAAGAGGTATGACTGACTACATAATGCAAAAGTAGTCAGTCAGACTATTAATAAAATACTACAAGAATACATTGAACCCACTCTTCGGAGGTGTACCTTTTTCTTTTTCTTTCTTAATAGACTATTATAATTGTAATGAAATCTTAAAAACATTATTCTCATGTGTGGTTTACAAATGATTTTAAGAGTCAAAATAGAAATAAAGATGACTATAAAGTTGATAGGACAAGATTAATTAGGCTGTCTGGGATAGCCTCAAGATGACTGGATATTGATTGTCCCATACCTTTTAAAACTTACCTCCCATCTGTGGAATCATTAGCTGCCATGTGATTTATTTGTCTGTATGAGCCCAGCTATAGATTCATAATCTAGTGGGGGTGCTGCAAAGATTTTCTGGCCAGGTTTTATGCTGTAACATGTCTCACTGTTAGGTGCAGCTGAAAGGGCCAATGCAGGTAAAGCTGAAGTGGGCAACGGCAGGGCTGCCGTGTGCGAGTTAACAGCCATGTTGCTTTTACTATGCTGTGTGCTGTACAGAGAAGACACCGGTAAATTCTGCACCTTAACAAGAAACATTAGGATAAGAGGAGATATTAAGATATATGTATCAATTATAACATAACTATGTGTTGATGTGGTTTACAGTAATTGGCATTATACCCAGCATCTGCATATAGACAGTTTTCTTATATAATCTGTACCCTGTCACTGCAGCGTTTATTTTCATGAATGTAGGCATCTGTTTGTAACCATAGTATAGTATGCGGCATATTGCTGTTTATTACCTCTTCCAGGCAAACTGAACAGAGAAGGTACAAGGCAGTAATGAAACTGCTAGTCTCCATCTCATCATTGTGCTGTAGTTTGTTTAGGAAACCTAAAGCAAATTTTAAGAAAGTATTTTACCAGGATGGTCTTGCCTTAGTAAGGATTAGTTATGCTACTGCTTTAGGTAGGATAGGGTGATGTGTTGTTGAGGAAAGAAAAAGGGCCTGATTATCAAAACACAAAAGCTGGCAATAAAGAACCAGGGAAGATGGACTGAAGACTGCAACAGAAGATGGCAGAAGAAGAACTAACACCAGCAGCATCCTGGAATGAGAAATTTGGTGGGTCTTTTAGCCTCAGCAATACAATGCCCCTTTGTGACTTGGCAGAAAAGGTAGGTCGTTTTTAACAGCTGATTCATTCTGAATTCTGTGAATCCATTTCAGAGCAGAGAAAATCAACGTGGGATGACTGCAGAGCTTTGAGTTTTGTATTTGGGCAAAGGTATACTGGAATAATATTAGGAAACTACCTCAAAGGTGAGAAGTCTTTGCCCTGCTGAAGCCAATGGGTATACTCTTACATGTTTTAATAGGGTCAGATTTAACCTGTCAGTGAGGTGGATCAACCCTATAGAGTTTGGGCTGTTTGATAACTCTTTTAAATCATCTTGGAAGCTGCAGATGCTAAGTAAGACACTGATTTTGCTCTGAGCAGGTGACCCGATCACTTCCTGTTTTATCACGAAATCCTGCTTTAGAAAAGAATTGCGGTATAGCACTAATCTCTCAGGAGATTTAACATTCTTTATGGAAAAACCTAAGTATCTTAGGTTACTGAAACATACTTGTAGCCTTTCTTTTTTGGACCCTATCAATAGCTTCTATATCCACTCTGAAACTAGTTTTTTTTAAAAGGTATGCAATGGTTTTGGTTACTGCTTTTACCTCATGTTGATGCCTGATAATTGGATAGACAGCAGGAAACATTGACACACAAAAGTTTTAAAAAGTCAGGTAGCTGGTTTCTGCTAGCCAAGATGTTAGGATGGCAGATTGCACACCTTAAATCAGTGCTGCTTCTGTGAAATCCAGTTCCAAGTGTGAGTTTGCATACAGTCTTACCCTTTGCTTTCTCTCCTTACCCTATTGGAAGAAATCTAATATAGCATGGTTGTGTAAGCATTTCTCTGCAACAGCTCTAATGCTGACTTTAAAAACAAACAAACAGAAAACCAAACCAAAAAAAAACAAACCTAAAAAACTAGAAGTGAGAAAACTCCACAACCAGATATGCTTAGCAAATAGCTGAAGTCATGGGCTGAGAAACAAGGCTAGGAAGTCCTGCTTATTTGTGGCCTTCCTGTTGATGGCTATACCTCCTGTAATTCATATACCAAGCAACTTCTCAGGGAAATACACAGTGTGTAGAGGGAACCCAGCCTTGATGGCTTTAGTCTGCTAGGCTGAATTTTCCTTGTGATGAATTAATTTCTGGTGCCTTTGCTAGAAAATATTTCTATTATTACAAATTCTGTTCTTCAGAAAAAGTAACAGTAAATTCTTCTGGTTTCCTTTAAGAGGATTTTTTCCTAGGCATAGGTATGTACTATTGTGTTTCACTACTGCACTTTGAAAAGCCTTGCTTTCTGCCAAGCAAGCAATAGATACACGGTGGATGCTGAGAGGACTACCGAAAGTAGAAATGATCCACCTGAAGTGATGACCCTGGCAAGGTCTGTGTGAGAGCCCAAGACCATGGTTGCTCCCGCGGTGTCCTCTCCCATCTTTCATTCTGCTGCTGTGGTTGTCGGGGTACCTGCACCATATGCTTTTAGACCAGCCAGAAAACAAGAACAGTGTGTTTTTTGAAAACAGCACTAAAACTTCTAACTTAGCATTTTTAAAGTTTTTAATGGAACAAGTAAGTAATTTCTCACTTTGTTATGCATTTTTCTAAACTTTTATTGAAATAATAATTTGGATATTCAGCAATCTGCTTGTTGAATATTTTTGTATTATTGGCATGAAAGTATTTATTTTGCATGATCAAGGATATTTTACATGTCATTGAAAATACTTTTGAAAATGATAAATCTTTTTTGCCGTTTTCACCTTGTAAATAAACTTTCTTTTTAATCTAAAAGCTTATAAATATATCTGGTAGCTTCTAGACAAAACAAATAGGTGAAGCATAGAACATCCAGGTATTTGAGGTCAATAAATCCAGGAAATCGAGGTATGCTTTCTAGGCTTATTGAAGTCCCTCTCCTGCTTCTGCATCTTTCTTCATCACTCACTTGAAACTCCCTTTCAGCAGGTTAGCCCTCTACTTGTTTAGGGGAGATTCAGTTCAGTAAATTCCTTGTCCTCATCCCTGTGTAAGCAGTATTGCACGCAGGTATTTATTTAAGCATGATTCATTATTAATATAGAGTATTTAGACAGCAGCGTACTGGAAATGAATTACTTTGTCAGGTATTTAAGAGCTCTATTGTATGTAGTTTGTTTTGTTGGAAAACTGCTATAGCAATCATAAAAGGTCAGGGATTCTTGTTCTCTTAAGCCTGAGGCTTTTTAGATATTTACAGGCCATGTACAATGTAGCTGTTCTGACTGTTCTGCCATTAGACCTGAGCTCAGGAGTAGAAGAGGAACAGGGGAGGAGGGGTTGTTTCTGGGTTGAGAGGGTAATTGAATTGCCAGACTCAATGAGCCTTGAGCCTCTTGGAGAAAAAGGATGTCACTTATGCTGTATTGTGTTAGCTGCCGTGACTCGGTAGAGTTTGGGCCACAACTTCCATTCTCTTTTTCCATACAAACTGGATTACAACTCCACTTTATAAAGGTACAATCTATTCCATTGTGTCTTCCCCGTCAGTGTTTCTTAGTTCATACAGACTGCTTGCAATTGTGTCTCTCAGAGACCAGACTTCAAATTCACCATGCACACACTACTACTTTTGTTTCTAAGCATCAGAAGATGGCAAACAAGTATTTTGACTTCCAGCTGTCCTCCCTAAATACAGCTTTCACATTGCAAAGCGTGTACTCTTTGTTTTATGGTGCACAAGCACCATCGTAGTTACTTCTTTCTTTAAAAAGAAAAACCACTAAGAAAAAAAAGTGTTCAGCTGCTGCAGGAGAAAGCTTTGCCCCCCTGACTCCTGAACAAGTACCAGGAGTGGTACTTTTAGGATTTTATGTCCTCCTTTCCGTGTGTTGATACGTAAAAGCAAGGAGGACTTGGTAAAATGGAGCTCCAACACCCGTCATCCTTTAGGGCTGGCATAAGCAAATATTGTACAGCAGCAGAAAATCCTACAGCTTCCTAGAAACAACTCTCAGCCTGAAGGCTTGCAGCCTGTCCAGCTTTCCTCCTGTTAAGCGGCAGTGTGTGCCAGAGAAAGCTGCCCATTAGAAAGGAACAGCTGCTCTCATGCTTTACCTTTGTACTGTTCAGTGAGATGGTCTTGGAGTTTTTTGTTATCAGACACCTTTATGGTTGAGTAGTCGCATTGAAAAACAACTGTTGGTGCAGTTTAGGTATGGGGATATTAAGTTGTGTTACATGGCACAGGCATAAGGAGTGACTGACTCAGCCTTTAAAGTCTGAGTCTAATGAAGAATTGGGGTGCAAAAGTATCTCTGCTTATCAGTGCTCAGAAATCACACTTTGTAGCTGCAGCCCTTGTTACTGTCTCTCACATTTTTTATCTCAAGTCTTGCAGTATTACAATGATTCCTGACATTGATTCAACAGT